TTAAAACTCAATTTAAGCCCATCATCGAAAGCCATTGTTTCCACGAAACTAGCAATGACAATGGAGTTAGATGCATTAATCTGGCAGCAGCTAAAGGTTTTGTAGTAAGCAATACGATGTTCCTGCACCAGTACATGCATAAGTATACCTGGGTAAGTCCTAAAGGAGCAAAAAGCCAAATCGACCATGTGCTAATAGACAAGAGGCATCAAAGCTCCATACAATACATAAGGAGTTATCGTGGAGCAGACTGTAATTCGGACCATACTCTGATTAGAATCAAACTCTATCACAGGCTGAAGCGAACCCACCGAATTAGGAACCAAGTGTTAAGACACAGGTACGAAGTCCGTAATTTGAAAAACCCTATAGTACAAGCTGAATTTCAAAATGAGCTGAAAAATAAATTAGAACTCTTGAACTCGGAAGGTCTCACGGTTGACTAACACTGGGAGGTACTAGAGTCAGGGCTAAAACAAACAGCTAAGAAAGTAATATGGATTCAGGAAAAAAGAAAAGCCAAGAAATGGTTCACAGAAGCATGCGAAAAGGCGATGGAGGAAAGAAGAAAAGTCCTCTGCTTACAAACTGATCAAGCTATGCTGGACAAATACACAGCTGCCAGGAAAAAGACAAACAAAATAATAAGAACAGCCAAAAGAGAATTCCTCAAAGAAAGATTACAAACTATTAAGAAAAACTGGCAGGCTGGAAATATATGCGAATCTTCGCAGATATCAGGAAAGAAAGGGTAGGATATAAAGCGAGAAATACACAAATCCGAGGGAAAAATTGCAAATTGACGGCATCAAAAGGAAAGATCCTAAGCATCTGGAAGGAATACTTGCTCCTTAACCAAGGGAACCCCACAAACGAAGAAGATACGGACCGCACTGAGGACATCGACCCACATGAGGTTAAAAAACCAGATATTCTGGATTTGGAAATAGCTATAGGCAGGCTTAAAAGAAGAAAGGCTGCAGGGATAGACAACCTGTTATCAGAATTGTTGGGAGAACTCAGAGCCAAGCTGTTAGATCTAATCCAGAAGATATGGGAGAAGGTACGAATACCAGAAGCATGAAACACAGGGTTGATACGTCCTATCCTTAAGAAGGACTCCATGTATGAATGTGGCAATAACAGAGGCATAGCACTTCTTCCGGTCGCCTATAAAATAATGATTAATATCCTGTTAAATCGGATATATCCGTATTATGAAAACATAATAGGCGACCATCAATTATGATTCAGGAGAGGGAGGAGTACGCTAGATCAGATATTCATCCTGAAACAAGTACTTGAAAAACGATGGGAAGTAGATCAGAACGTACACGCATTATTTGTCGACTTCAAATCAGCCTATGACTCCGTTGACAGAAACTGTCTCTGGAAGATCATGACTGAGCTGGGTGTTCCCGGGAAATTAGTGAGGTTGACGAAGGCGTGTACAAATGATCCTAAATGCAGGGTACTAATACAAGGAGACGTATCTGAAGCCTTTGAAGTTAGAACGGGTTTGAGGCAGGGAGATGGACTCTCGCCGATGCTGTTCAACTTAGCACTAGAGAAAGTAATAAGAATAACATCACGTGAAGATAGAGGGGTGCATGTTGGAAAGAAACATAAAATCCTAGCATATTCCGATGATATAGCTGTCCTCTGAAGTAATCAAGACGATATTGAGAGACTAGCTCGGACTCTATTAAAAGAAGCAGAGCAAATCGGACTACAGGTCAATGTAGATAAAACTAAATACATTATAGTTAGCCGAAACATCCACCCTAATAACATGATCTGCTTGGACTCTAAGTCATTCCCGAAAGTAGACGGATTCAAATACCTCGGCTCCACAATAACCTCAATTAATGATCAACTAAAAGAAATAGACCAGCGAATAACAAGTGCGTGCAGATTTTTCTTCTCTCTTTCAAAGGTACTGAAATCCAAAAAAATCTCTGGAAATCTCAAAATAAGGGTGTACAACGCCGTGGTTAAGCCAGTTCTGCTGTACGGTTGTGAAACCTGGGCTCTAACCGACATATTATAAGTCAGAATTGAGAGATTAGAAAGAAAAGTTCTACGTAGGATAACAGGACCTAGTGGGACAGGAGGATAAGGAATAATAAAGAACTGTTAAATGAAACGGGTCAGTCAATATCTCATGACATCAAGGCAAGGAGGTTAAGATGGCCAGGACATGTAGCTCGTAGTAATCCATCAGGACGCCTCAAAATGACAATGAATCCCAGAGTAGTAGGCAAGAGACCACGTGGGAGGCCAAAAACCAGATGGATTGATAGGACAAAGAAAGATAAGGCTAAGCTTCATGCCGCAAACTGGAAAGCAGTAACCCAAGATAGGCAGAGGTGGAGAAGGCTGGTTCAGTTGGCCAAAGATCTACAAGGTTTGTAGAGCCAAACGAAAAAAAAAAAAAAAAAACCGATGCTTCTGGATCAATTCTTATTTAAGACACGAATTATTTGTTATTACTTTTGTTCAAGGACAATTGAATCATTAGATATTGCCTATACTAATATATTTATATATATCCAGTTTACTACAACACTGTTGCAACCTTCAGTGTGTTATCATTTGTGTTATCTAAAAGCATATGATTTTAATAGTGAATATTAATTTGTACTAGTGGAAATAAGTGTAATTTAATTATATATATAAAAGAATGAAATCTCGCTAAAACAATATTAAAAATTAAATTACTAGTTTTCAACTGGTAAGGCATGGACGTACATTATGTTCAAGTTGGAAAGAAAGCCAAACAGCCGAAATGCCTATACATTTGTTATGTGTTATCAATGCATTCCCATTGATAAGAGTACTTGGTATTTGGTACCAAAAGAATTTAAAGATTCAAGTATCCAAAATACTCTGTAAAATAAAAATGCAATGCCTGATATTAACAACCAAGATGGTTATAGAACAGTTGCTGTAAAAATCGATGATAATATTAAAAAAGAATATTTTGATGAAGCTGACAATGTTTGTTTACGAGAGTTGCTGTTAGAGGTATGTGTTCCAAGATCGATTTCCAGATCGATTTGAACAAAAGGAATTGGAAGGTATGATTAGACAATTAGATAATTAGTCATACCTAAAACAAGATAAAATAGAACTGTACCAAATAAAACAAAAAAAAGTTGAAAAAATCAGATTCTGAAGAATGGTCAAGTAGATTTGAAAAAGAGTGTAGTCGCTTTCAGATAAATCAAATTCAAGCTTTGCGTTTTTTAGTCTCCGTTCCAGCAAAAGATTGGTTTGAAATAAATCTTAAGAAAATAGGCATAAATGAACATTGGGAAAGTCATTCTTGAATGTTTTTGTTGATAAAAGAAGGAACGTTGTCTGGAAAGCTGTTAACTTTCGAGCCGATTTCAAGTTCTGTGGCTCTTGGTTTTCCAAATCGTTGCAATCTCGTAACGGAGTGCCGAAATCGAAATAACATCTCAAGAAAACTGAAGAGGAACATAACAGAAGGGTCTCCTATGATTGACGATCAAGAAATATTAAAAATTAATTTGGGAAACAAATATTTAAACTAAAGGACCGAGCGAAACTAATTAACAAGGATTTAATTAGATCCGTTGATAAAATTAAATGTAATAACCAATGTTAGGTTAAAAAAAAACTGATGTTTATGATAGTGGCTCCAACGTTGCATTAATTAATCAACGAATTGCTTATTTGCGGATTAAATTTCAACTCAGCCCAGGCTACAATTTCACTTCGAATTTGAAATATTGAAGACTTCATAACAACTTACGTCGTCAAGAACGATGATTTTTCTTAAGACATTTTATTGGATATTGACGCTTTTAGGAAATTTAAAATGATTCAAAATAAAAATTTGTGAATTTTACAACGAACAGATTCCAATAATTCGATAGATTTACAAGAGGACCGATCCAAAAGTGATCGAGAGGATAATTTTCAACGCTTTAATTTAGATCATTTATCAAATTATAAACAATACGATAGTCAAATTTTAATTGGCACAGATGCTGTCGACGATTATATTGAATTTAATTTCAATGGAAATTTAAAAATGGAGAAATTTGATGTCGATTTAAAACATACTGAAAACGAAAATATAAAACATCAAATTTAAGAGGTTGTTAATAAACATAAACACATGTTGGCTAAAGATAAATTTTACATTGGAAAAGTGCGATAAAAAGAGGCAGAGATAAAACTGTTGTCGAACGAGTATGTCACCAGTCTTCCGTATCAATGTTCACTTCATGACGATGAAGAAATAAGACGTCAGATTAAGGCATTGAAGAATCCATCCAAGCAAAGATCCATTGAAGAATCTAATTTTCCATTCGATTCTCCTGTAATCCTCGCGTTCAAGAAAGATGAAAACAGCAAATCAAGCTTTTGTATCGATGCCCGAAAATTAAATCGATTGGTGGTTCAACGTAATCCATAAAGTTGTTAGTTGCAAATACTTCACAGTTTTAGATATCATTTCTGCACTTTAGAGTATTACGCAAAAAGAATAATACCGAGAAAAATTTCATTTATAACAAAATATTGAAAGTTTATGTTCAAAGTTCTTCAACTTTGATTTGAAAAATGCTCCTGCTACGTTCCGGAGAATGTTTTTTAACATTATTCGAAGTAATGGTTTGAAAGAATTCTGCATAAATTATATCGATGATATTTTCTCGAACCTGGAACGATCATCTTAAACATATCGACATCTTTTAACAGGTAACCAACGCTGAAGGATTCAAACTAAATCTAGTTAGGTGTTCCAATCCAAACAAAATTAAATCTCAATTCAAAATCTAGAAATACCAACGGATGAGATGAGTTCGAATTGCTTTGGGTTCAATAAACTTTTATTTGATATATATTGAAAATAACTCTCAGAATTGGAACCATTGCGTCATTTATTAAAAACAGATGTAAAGTTTGAACGGTCTGATTATTGCGAAAAAGCTTTCTATATGGTTAAATATTACTTATGTACCATACTTATGTACCATATGCGCCTATACTGTCATTTTACGATTATAATAAGCCCGTATTCATTGAGACAGATGCCAGTTTTAAAGGTATTAGTGCAACACTTACACAGCCACGAGAAGATGGAGTTACGTATTACAATATCCTCTTACGTATTACTTTAGAAAACTGCCAAAAAGAGAAAAAAAACGAATTGATATAATTCATTTAGAATGCAAAGCGATTGAAGACGTAATCAAGTTTTGGCAATATTATTTAATAGGAAGCCACTTTACGGTGTGCACTGATCATAAGCCGTTGGAAAACTTAAGTATCTAGGCCAGATCAGATGAAATCCTTTCAGACCTAATTCATTAATTGTCGCAATTCAATTTCATTATCATTTATAAAAAAAGGAAAATAAAATATCCCAGCCGACTTATTCGCAAGAAATCCGGTTTTAGAATATTTTGAAAGTGAAGATGCTGTTGTGAACTTAATCGATTTATATTAGATTTTAAAAGAACAAGCTGAAAATCACGTTTTCCAAATAGCAAAACGGATTGACTACAAGCAAGGGATATTACTGAGAATATTTGTTTCTCCAAAATTAGGAAACAAAATCATTCATCTAATTCATGAGCATTAGGGTCACAATGATCCTGCTCAGATAATCGCCACAATTAGGTCGCATTAGTATTTCGACGGTCTAAAAGTTAACTGATTTTTGTTAGGAAGAAGATATGTCGCAGTCGAGCTATCTTTCAAATAAATAAGAAGTGTGTAGATAGGAATCGATGCTATTAAAATTTTAACGTTGGAGATTTCGTGTATATCGAAAATTGTAACAAAATTAATCACAACAAACTTGAACCCATACGAATCGGACCATTTTCAATAGTCCGCCTGATTTCACCAATGTTTTATTTAGTTGCGAATGAAAAAAGAATGAATATATCCAACATCGTCCATTCCAGTTAACTCCTTCCTTATTCTCCGAATGAATCATCTTCAGGAGGGAAGATGTAAGTTTGCTATAGTGTACTAAAAGACTGTTGCAACCTTCAGTGTGTTATCATTTGTCTTATCTAATGACATGTGATTTAAATATTAAATATTAATTTGTGCTATTGAAAATACGTGTACTTTAATTCTTTATAAAAATAATCAAATCTCGTTAAAAAAATCTTACATATATATATATATATATATATATATATATATATATATATATATATATATATATTGTATTTGAGTTTTAAATAAAGATATATATATATATATATCTTTATTTAAAACTCAAATATACTACAATATTAATTAGTTTTAGAAAAATAAGGTTGTCATAATTCTATATTACATGCTTCTATTTTGATAAAAAGAAACTGTAACAGGTAAGACGCTTACTTCTGACTCTCGTTGTTCCCGTTCCTTTTCCGCTGAACATCTCTTCCTCCAATACCACAGCGCAGTGCCTGCACCGGCGATTGCAATGGTGGCAAAAATAATCTTTCTGTTAATCATTTTGTATATTTTACAAGCAAAGATAAAAGAAGAAGTGAATATTTTCTATATATAATCTATGGAAACGTAAAAGCACTTTGACAACAATCAAATTAAAAATATTAAAAATACAATAAAAAATAACATAAATCATTTTTTTTTATTTGTTCATAAATATAATAATCTGTCAAACGGACAAGTATAATTGTAGTAAGATTTTAACACTTTCACACCATATATGCAGAAAAAATAAAATTGACCAAAGTAAAATAATAACCAAAACCTGTATAAAATAACTTGAAGATTCTCGGCCCTTTGCCCCACTACGACTGGTCCCCGTGGGAAAGTAGACCCTTCTAATTAGGGGAGGCCTAAAATATATGTAATAACATACTAGCAAAAAAGAAAAAAAAAAGTTAAGTATATTTAAAACATAATGACACAACCATAGCTATTATACAATATAAATACAATATATATATAATATATAATTCGGCAGAGAACCTCAAGCCAGGCTTGTCCCTCCAACTATAGAGGAAAAAGCAGAACTCCAAGAGATCCATGCGCTACTCTCTCAACTGCGGCACTGGAGCTTAAGCCAGTTTAGATCAAGCGAGAGCGCTTTAGCCACATACATTCATTCCTTAGTAAGGAAAGTGGGTTCATATATTTGTTTGAAAAAAAGTTACAATTGTTTCACATTTTTATTTGTCTAAAACTCGAAAAGTAAATAAATGGCGCACTGCACTTTTTTCTTTTGTACCTTACTACTACTTATAAAACGTAATGTAGGAATATAGAAAAGTACAACAAAAATTTCGAGAAAAGCATATTCATTAATGTTTTCCTCAAATAATGATTATAATGATAATGATGATTATAGTCAAATTTCGACCAATGGATGGAGGACACTAGTATATATAAAAGAGTGGACAGAAATTAAAAACAAAATAAACTAATATATGTGATCAAAACATTAACAAACATATGTTTGATCGTAGTGCATGATTAACATTTTTGAATTAAATTAAAATATATTTAACTTTTTTTTTTAACAAAAAAGTGTTAAGTGTCAAGACAAGATTGCTGAAGACAAAACACCAAACAAATTTTGAGCGGATTAACTGCCAACGATGGTGGGATCGTTTCTACATGAGATAAGTAATATGGACTAAAAATACTGATATAAGGTAAACAATGCCATCGATTTCTGGGACTGGGTTATTGGTTGTCAAAGATCAATGACAGATTCAAACGAGATAAAAGCTCAAAATGGCCAACAAACAAACAATATGCAGGTATATCACTAACATTAAAACAAAACATGTAAGAAGACTAAACTTCAACTAAACTCCAAACTAAACTCCAACAATTTTCATAAACGTTGTTGAGAACTACCATGCATTGGTCTCATTTATAGAAAATGTAGCTTGTCTTAGACGTTTGAAATGTCACAGATTAGACAGATCTGGTACCCTACTTGTTCTCCACAATAATATAACTGGACACTCCTTGTCAAGTCTGCTGTGGAATGCTAATGAGTTGGATCAGCACAGTATTTTATGGAACTTGACTTGAATTTGCACAAAAAACGGATTGACTTTGCACTCATTAGTGAAACACATCTGACATCTTGGTAAAAAAGTTACATTCAGGAGTATCCTATTTACAGAAGTAATCATCCAGACAAAACTACACCTGGAGGAGCAGCAATACTCATTAAAAATTCACTAATCGAATTCCCGTTGGCTTATCTATTACTCCAGACACTATACTATACTATACACTAAACAATATACCAGTTGTCTCAGTTTACTGACCCTCTAGGTACAAGCTTACATACATGATGCTTTACTAGTTCTTTAAACGCCTCGGATGCTTCATTGTAGATGCCATCTACAACGCAAACCATCACGGCTGGGGGTCATGGTTGTGTACTCCTAGAGGCATAAATCTTTGGTATTTTTATCTTATTTTCTTCTTCCCTTGCCTCTCGGCAGTACAGATTTTTGTTAAACGTATTTCATACTTTTACCACTTATCTTCAGGTTTTTCAGCCTTTGTTAGCGGAGGTTTAATTGATCAACCCCGACTACTTCCTTCCACCCGTACACGAATGCTTTGTAGTACGGGTAGTTATGCTTACTTACTAGCTAAATGAAATAGTCCCCCGTGATAATGCGTCTCTCTCGTCTCTGGTCTCTCTCGCTTGTAATTTGGTCTTTATTGCTTCAAAAGCGGTGCAAGTCGTGACGATATGCTCAGACGTTTCCAGAACATCACAACAGGGACATAGGAGATTAACTCATTTTTCAAAGCCATGAAACTTGGCCGGAACCACCCCATGTCATGTCAGGAATTGCGACACCCAATTATCAGGGAGGACCCATTTCACTTCCAACCTTGAATAGATGGTAGGAAATATTTCCTTAAGGTAGAGCCTTTATGAGTAGTTACCCATCATCGATACCACTGCTCAATGATGTCCTCCCGCATGATTCTTTGCCATTTAGATGGATCTGCCGCAATCCTTTATAGGAGATTTTCCGGAAGACATTCTGAGCCTTCTTTCTTAAAAATATACATGAGCTTGTCTTCTTGCAGGAGAATGTGGAGATTCACCCCTCCTCCACCGCTTCATGATCAACAGTCCTGTACAATTTTGTTGCTCGCAGCAGAGCCGTTCTCTGTATTGTCGCCAATCTTCTCTTCTGTTATTGCGAGAGGTTACGATTCCAAGCTGGGGGATGCGTACCTCAAGATACCTATTGCTATTCCATTATAGATAGTCATCGTTGCTGGGTACCTGAGGCTCCAGAAGGCGCCACCAATACGCATTATTCCATTGACGGCTAGGGTCACCCTACTAATCAAGTAATCCAAGTGAGGAGTAACGTTAAATCTTCTACCGAATCTCACTCCAAGATAAGTTACATCTTCATTAAGACTTGTATATTCATGACAATTGGGTGAGCCCTAGCCATCTTGCCCATTAGAAGTAGAGCTTGGATTTTGGCACCAGCCACTTTCAGCTTTTTCCTCTCGCACCATTCTCCAACAAGATTGGAGCCCCTTTCTGCTTCTCCTTTCAACTCGGATCTGCTGTTGACTGCCACCACTATGGTCGTCGACACAGCCCGTGGCAGGGAACCGCTCCTCTTCGAGTACTCCCAGCAATTAGCACCGAATACTAATTTCCAAAGAGTAGGTCTGAGGACAAAGCCCTGCGGACATCCCCTATCCACTCTTTCTTCGACTTCATAGAAGTTGCCGCTTACTTCTTGATCTTCTTGATAACTCTGCATTAAGTCATACAAGTTGGTGGGGGCCTCGAACTTTTGTAGCTGATATACAATATGTAACTTGTAGCACATTCGGCCACCACACGCTATCAAAGGCGGAGGATATTTCAAACAAAAGTAACATGACATAATTCTACGCCTTCTCATCAACATCGGAGCAAGGAATCGGCAGTTCCCTTACCTTTGGTGGATCCATATTGCTGTGGATGGCTAGCTATGTCTAGTGTCATTCTCTGACTGGTTAGTGTTAGGTACTCCAGGACATTACTCATGACAGAGAGGAGACAGGTTGGTCTGCATGATTTAGGGACTTGCCTATCTCTGTCAACCCCTTTATAGAGCACTCTGCAACCTTCCACTATATTGGAAAACACTTCTTATCAAAACAGTCATTATAGATGTTCAACAGTCTTTCCTCAATGTAGGGGACACTGTCAAAGACTTGCCAATCTTTGTCACTCCGCCAATCTTTGTCATTTTTCCCTTGCCACTCTGTACGGAATACCTGAGAGATTCTCCACTGTCTCTTTAACGATGAAATCATTCCATACTTCCGTTTTTGGCTGCACATTTCATTTCGGTGTATCCTGGCTTTTTCCTTGTACTCATTTCAAAGTGCAGTGCGCCTCTCGTCGCTACTACACCTCTGATACGACCGCCGGGCCTTGTAGAGGTCTCTTTTAAGGGTAGTTAAGGACGTCCACTATGGGGCTGGTCGAGCTCTCATTTTCCTGTGATGAAGGACATTTTCTGCAGCATCACAGATGACATCGGTGATCCTGGACACCCTGTAGTCCAGGTCATCCGTACAGTATGTCTGAGCTTCTTCCCATTTTTCATCAATTACCTTCCCCTCCAATATAGAGCAGAAGGTACTCCAGTCTTTAATACGTGTTTTGTAACCCTTATCAATACCATGGGGACAACCTTCATTCTGCAATAGGCCAAATGCTAGAGGATTGTGGTCGATAATCGTCTCAGATCTGAGGGGTTCAATCGACAATTAGGTTTACTAGCGTACTTGAAACCAGCGTTACATCTATCCAACTTTGGCCCAAAGACCCTGAGAAGGTTGATGTGTCAAATGAATCGTTAATAACCCTTAACTGATTTCTCGCAAGAAATTCGCCAATTTTAACCCTTTTTCTATTAGTCCATCGAAATCTCCAGACCGTGTTCCAGAAGTCGGTATCTGAGCACACAATCACATTCCTAGCAGTTTCTGGGATCGCTTCCTTAGCGAATATGCCGTCTTCGACATTATTCTCATCAGTTAGATATACCAAGATTAGCGTAAAAGTAACGATAATAAATGTTTGGTCTGTATTTCATGAACATTCTTAAGATAACCCGAATCCAAATTGACCTACTCATTGGCCCACTCATTTAAAATAACTTCAAATTCTGATCTTTTCTCTGATCACTCATCAGAGTCAATAGTTCTCTTTGATGAGCCTTCTGAAGCAAAAAAAAAAACAAACAAAAAAACTGACCTATCCTTATCATTGGCACTATAGCCCTAAGTGGGTCTTGGCTCCACAATAAGCCTCATCCATTCGACTCTGTTACGTGCTGCCGCCTTCTTGTGTTTTGATCTCTAGGAGACTTCTTTCTTCCGATGTCACTCAGTGAGTCTACCTTAACCTTAGTCTTCCAGCTCTTCGTGTCCTTCTTCAGATATCTTCTTCGTTATTTTTCCTTAACTCATCCTAGCCACGTGACCAAAACAGCTTATTCTCCCAAAGCTAATGAATTTGACCAATTCTGTCTCCTTTTAACTGTGGCACAGCTATCGGTTCTCCTTATTCCTCTATCCCTTGTGAACTCTTTATGAATCAATAATACGCCAAT